TGCATATAACATGTTTGTTACACCTAAAGAAACACACAGTGCACGTTGTGTGAGAAACACTGAATGTAAACATAACATTATTATATGTCACCTGTGTTGGTGCTTTCAGGCGCCTGTTACTTACAATGGCCACTGTTTGTTTTACCTTTAACAAACAATGTATATAAAAATCAATGCACATCTCCTGTTATTGTCAAATGCAAATACTTTAGCATCACTGGAACAAACACGCAGGCTTGCATTTGTAATTGTTAGATATATTTTTATACTTTTTACACCCTGTACGTCTCGTCGTTTTGTCAGTTTTTTGTCACTATCTATTATTGCTAGCGTCATTGTGGTATTCAAAACCACTATTTCCATGCGTTTACACGCCTATCTTGTATGTTGCCTGTTCGAATGCTTTCCTGTTTTGCCTTCATCCCCTGTCAGGCAAATCGCTAAAATTGTTTCATTGCACTTTGCTTAACACAATTTTAGTGCCTCCGATCAGCATTAATCAATTAGATTATAGAATAGAACAGAAATATCACCACGCTGTTTCCTCTGGAAAAATACGGACAAATGGCAGTTCACAGGCCGTCACAAATTTGAAGGAAAAAGTGTAATAACTAAAACAAATTCCTGTTAATTAAGCATCATCATAACTCATTAGTGGACTGCATTCAACATGGTGGTTCTCTACATTAAAACAGTCCCTCTGTGGCTTTTCCTTTCCGTCGCAGGACGTAACGAGCCTCTGAAGAAAGATCGACCCAAGTGGAAAGAGTGACTACCCGATGACGGAGGGCCAGCTACGGAGGCAAGGCGGGACGAGTTCTGGGACACGGCGCCGGCTTTCGAGGGCCGTAAGGAGATCTGGGACGCTCTGAAAAGCCGCCGCTTGGCACTGTGAGTGCAACGACCACGAGCTGGCCCCAGGCTATAGTGGAGCGTGAGCCAGTATCACACTGCCACATGGTAAAACAGAAAATACACATTCACAAAACCAAATAGTTCGTACTTCATGTCTGGGGAAAAGACACTGATGGACTCAAATCCACTGATGTACATCAATCACAGGTTGATCCACAGTATACAGAACTTATATTTAGATTGCACAGAATAACTGACCGTAGGTTTAAATAACAGCTTGTATTCTTTCCCTCTCCAGGTACTCTCACAGAGTGTTATGATGAACTCGGGAACCGCTACCAGCCTGCCCGTCTACTGCCTGGTCCACCTGTCAACCTCATCTCAGAACGCAGCCATGAGGACCCCAGCGACAGGCCCGAGCCCCCCGTAGCACCCAAAAAGGAATTCCAGCTCAAGGTACCGAACAGACTTATCGGGTTGTGTTATCAGATGTTACCTTTAATTCATAGAACCCCAGTTACATCATTGTAACTACTTTTAACATTCAACTACTACTTCAACACTGCCAGGAAGTATTGCAAGTTCCTGTCTTGGTTTATCCTTGACAGACAAATTTTTTTACCTGTGTTCCCCGTGTAGGTACGACTGTCCACAGGTAAGGACCTGCGCCTCAGCGCCAGCATGGCTGACACCATAGGGCAGCTTAAGAAGCAGCTGCAGGCCCAGGAGGACATCGACGCACCCATCAGCGCTGGTTCTTCTCCGGCAAGTTGCCTCACAGACAAGACACGGCTGCAAGACACTAAGATCCAGAAGGACTTTTGTCATCCAAGTCATCGTCAACCCGCAGGCCCTCCGAGCCCCGAAGCCATCGCCCACCTCATCTGAATAGCTAAGAACAAGAGGACAAGTGGGAGAGGTGGTGCAGTGGTGGCAGACACTAAAGGACCAGAGGTGCCTCCTAATGCTGGATTGAAATAAAACTGTGGAGTACAAAACTACATGAGGGAGAAACTCTACAAGTGCTGCTTTCTTTCATCTACCACGTGTTGTATTTGGTTTTGTTTTTTTTTTTGGGGGGGGGGGGTGGGGGGGGGGGTGGGAGGTGGAGGTGGGGTATTTTGGGTTGGCTTAACGTCAGTCCATTCACCACACTAACTCTGGAGATTCTCTTCCCCTTGTCTCTCTGAACCATTTCAAATGAAAGCAAAACTCGTGCTAATGAGCAGCCTTTTCAACCGCATATCAGACTGTGCACATCCGCCGTGCACACGCGAGGACTTTGCCGCTGCCGTTTTTCTCTGCACTAATAGGTAACTAAGTGCCAATGGAAGAAATGCAGAAGTGTTGTGTTGGTTCTAAAGCACATTTCTACTAGGACTGCACTGCAATCCTCTACTCCTCCACAGATACAGGAAGGGAAGCAGAGAGTGTGATCCCGAACATTTCTTGTTTCCCTTTTCTTTTCTTTTTTTTCTTTCTTTTTTTTTTTTTTTTTTCTTTTTATTGAGGAAATAATGTAAATCTGAGCTTTTTTGCACATTTAAGATATTACTATACTTTTGTGGTAGTTGGTGTGCCTTCTACATGAAAACAAAAAAAGGGTCAATGTCCTGAAAGATGCTAGTTTTACCACTAGATTAAGCCTCTTGTATTTTTTTAGATTCAGGAACTCTTAGATTGACCCAAGCTATAACTGCTGCCTTTTTTCTTTTTGTTTTTTGTTTGTTTTTTTTGTTTTTTTTTAAATGATTTCACAAATCTTGCTGACAAAACATGGTGTGTGGTGTGCTGGCAGTGTGTGTTTGGGCAAAAGGAATATGTAATTTTAGCCATATGATACATTTCAGTTTGACATAGCTCATAGGACACAAGACTGTTTTCCCTGGTCTACAAGTCATAAGCTTTGCAATCAATCATATCATATTGTCTAAGGAATTACAAATTCCCATGCAAAAAAAAATGGTCTTAAAATTGGTCTTATTGACCACTTAATGACCCCCGGACCACTAGGGGGCAGCGACACAGCCCTGATATAATCAGTTCAGTTGCTTGGGGCACCTGATGAATGTAAATCCAGTATTCATTCACCTTTTTATCCTCCGCATATGGTTTAGGAAATTATAATATTTGTCACTTTTGTTCTCTAGATGTTTGACTTTCCTTCACCAGCATACAGATGTCTTAGAGTGAGCTGGTTTGCCAGAAATGGCTGCCAACAAGTTTTATATGCGGGGGGTTGGTGAGAGCCGTTAGGACTTGACCATATGGAGCAGTGAACCGAAACAATGAGCAGAAAAAGCTGCGGATTTGAGCGTCAGTTCTCAGCAGATCCAGCTGTACAAACTTTACATACAGGGAGTTATTTGTTTGTTTTGTTTGTTTTTTTTGTTTTTCAATTTAAAAAAATATATATAATAATAATATAATTATATATGTATATATATTTATATATTTAAAGGGCCACTTCACTGA